ATCTATCAATGCACCTGAAACAAGTCAGCAAATAAACTCTGACCCTCTTTCTTCTCGCTCGACTCCGCGCTGAATCCTTCGCAGCTTCCGCCCGCAATGAGTGTTCCGGCTGAACCTGAAGCTCCTGCGTACCGTCTCAAAATACGTCTCACAGGCGGCTGGAAAACAATTAAATGAGTGTGGTATGAATACAAAAAAAATCAAACCCAAGTCACAGTAACATTTAACAAGGAAGGAGAAACAGTGTCACTTACACACAATGACGTCGTCTAAATCTGGACTTTTCCCGGAGCAAATACGAGGTCACCGCCTCATTATGAGGCGAGATTAGTCTGTGAAAACAAAATGTACAGTTATGATCAGTATCTATACGTATATATTCCCTTGTACCGCAGAATGAAAGCATATTCTGTAAATCTTACCCTTGCTCCGGTTCGTAGCGCCTGTAGTTCGTCTCGGAGTTGTGAAGACGGCGCACCGCTTCCTGTAAACAACACGGCAAAGAAAAGACACTTTAATAAAGCTGTTTCTGTTCACTTGTAAGGCTACTAGGCTACTCTTAGCTTAGCTTGAGGCTACGCTACTTTTAGCTTAGCTTGCAGTCATCGAACGTATTCTTACCGCTATCTTGGGATTGTGCGCCCGTCTCCTCTTCTTTGAGTCGGTTCCTCTCCTCCATGGACAGAAACCCGCAGAGTCCCGAACGCTCCAGTGGAGCGAACCGCTCGTTGATATCGGCAGTTTGTTGTTGGAGTGACGAGACGATCCACTGAGAGCATTCAGCAGCTTCTTCTCGTCTGTCTGCGGACTGGCCGAAAGTTGGTGACCGCGGAGAGGAGTTGAAGGCGAGTTGAACGCGAGACGTCGTCCCGCCATTATTCACGAAGCAGCAAAGACCAAACAAAGGAACTGGAGATACAGTTCTTCTGAATATAGTAACACACGTGTCTGTTTGTATGCTCGTCTTGCAAGTACTGCTGTATCAGTCATGCCTATGACCTCACACGTGATTGGACGAGGAGTCTAAGGGTCCTCCAATCACATACGAGGTTATTGTTATACGGAAGGACCAGTATTTTAGGAAGACAATTGGTTGGGACTTTGAAACAGCTGATATGCTTTATGTAAAGCAGTGAACGACTTTCCCTAGAAAACTGTACAGTGGTGCCTCTTTCTCCATTCCACCAGACAATCTTGAGTCTGACAGACATGCAATGTTGACAATGTATCATCAGATGTACCCTTGTGTCACTGAGGTTGAATGTTTTGCCATGACATGTAAACGGGTAACATATATGAATGTAACTTACTCAATCGATAGATGCAGAGCATAAAGGTCAGCGTATGTTTATGCTAAGTGGTGTGGAAACACGAACAGTTTTGAGGAACCCGTCCTTGACCCTCTAGCAGAACTACGACCAGCCATTATAAAGCAGTTTATAGTTGTTAATGTTGTGTCAAAGGGTACGGCATTTAAACATGTTCTTGCACACGTTTCCTGGCTTCATCCCCACCCGGACAGACATTTTTATGGAAAGCCAATAGAAGTTTGGGGCTTGCAGGGAACAGACACGTCATACCCAGCATCATTTCTGCCAGTTGAGCGCATTGCCAGAAGATGTGTGGTTAATACATCCTCTGTGCATTTAAGTAAGACCAAAGAAAAGGTCACTGTAGTCCTGCCACTATGCACTGTAGTTGAGCTCTAGGAGACTGTGATCTCTGCAGACCCCTCATGCTGATTCAAATGTTGTTGCATGGAATGCTCATTTTGCCTTGATTAAAACTATTTTTTTAAAGAAGTTATTTATCTTTTTTACATAACATTTGCCATTGCTAATGGCGTACACAGTAATCTAGCATATTTGAATTAAATTAATCAATTCAAGCTAAAATGTAAGAGTCTATAATTAGGCTACTGAGCCTGATCTATTTGTACCAGAGATTTTCTTACCTTTTAAAAAAATGTCACCTGGGCTAAAACTCCCTCTGCGACCCTGATTTGCATTTGTATAGCTCACAGCATTTTCATTTACATGTCAAAGCCTCCCCTAGAATTAGGAGGAGGGGGGTCATGGGGGGACAACTGCCAAGGGAGGCCCACGTCAATTTCTGACAATTTATGGCAGTTTTCGGCGTTGCCCGCAAATTGCCGCAAACCTGAAATTCCACGACAATTTACAGTGCCGCATGCTGCCGAAAATCCCACTTTTCATGCAGTGGTGCAGTGGCTTTTCATGCAAACTGGGATCGATCCGATAAGTAGGATTTAAACCAGCTGAGTGCAGTTCCTTTGATACCAATTAAATGTTCTAGTCTCTGCAACAGGATACAATGGTCTATGGCAGCGATTCCCAAAGTGTGGGCCGCGAAGTACTGCAGGTAGGCAGCGAGAGGTCATTTACAATAAATAAATAAAAAGTTTTTAATTTCCAATTTTGAAAAGTTTGAAATTAATATAAAAATATGTATGATGCGGCACGTTAGTTATGTGAAACATTAATTGATGAAGCACAAACAATTTAAATGAACAGATTGGTTAATCGGTTGATCCATACTGGTTTTACACGGCGCTCAAGACGCTCTGCCAAACATGCCAAAGCTCGTCTACGACGGCGAGATGCTGTGCGGCGCTCAAGCGCGTGAGATATGGATGTGTTACATGTCCTGTCAACAAAGACAGATTCATAATATCTAATAAGGATGTGCTAACTAAAGGAAAAACTTCCTTAAGCAGCTTGGTCGGAATCAGATCCAAGAGACAAGTAGAAGATTTAGACTTTGAAAATAAAGAAGTCAGTTGATCAAGGTTGATGGAAGAGAAGGCATCCAAACAGGGATCGGGGCCCACTGCTGCATCCAAGGTTCCTACATCGGAGGACAGGTCGGCACTGGTTGAAGGCAGGAGACCATCAATTTTCTCTTTGATAGTCAGAATCTTATCATTGAAGAAGTTCATGAAGTCATTACTAGTGAGGTCCAAAGGAATACACAGCTCGACAGAGCTGTGACTCTCTGTCAGTCTGGCTACAGTGCTGAAGAGAAACCTGGAGTTGTTTTTATTTTTCTCTATTAATGATGAGCAATAAGATGCTCTTGCGTTACGGAGAGCCTTCTTATACGTTTTAAGGCTGTCTTGCCAAACTGGCCTAGATCTTTCTGATTTGGTGGAACGCCATAGTTGTTCAAGTTTCCGCACAGTTTGCTTTAGGTTCCGTGTTTGAGGGTTATACCAAGGAGCAGACTTTATTTATTTAGCAGTTTATTCTAGTGTCTTATGTGTATTTAAAGACACAACATTGGTTACCAACATCACGCAAAGTGATTTCATAAACGAATGAGTCCTTAAGGATGCAGCCTAGCGACTTTGAGACAGAGCTAGTGACTCCTCTGTCAGTGACAGCCGGCATTGAATATTTGCCTCTGGTGAATCTCTGAGTTCAACAGTATGATTGAGAGGCCAACAAGTTTAGCGTAAAAGGATGAACTCCCTGTCTGAACTGAAGCTAGTACCTAATTTCAATCAGGAGATGCCAGTGAATGATTAGTAGTATTATGCCGGATGATGCGCCTGTGAGTTACATAGAATATATTTGCCGCTTGTACTTAATTTAGCAATGCGCTGTGTTTGCCCTGAGCGGAAGCCACATCTCAATCCCCAAAAGGGAGAAGGGTAAAACAGCTTTCTGTTCCCCCAAAAGAAGTATTACTTACTAAGCTGTAATTGAACACCCTTTTGTGCAGACTGCTGAGAGATGAGGGATGTTAGGTTAAAGTTAGGTGGACGCCGGGAACCATGCTTGTGATGTCGCCATCCGTGGATAATGGCCGCAGTGACCTGGCATTAGCGATGGGATGAGTCTGGTACCACTTTGATTGTCAAGGTAATTCTAGTGACAGAAGTCAGGGAGGACTCAGGTGCAGACTTCTAACAATTATAGAACTTTATTCAAAGTAGGGAGGGGAAACACAGCCTCTCCAACAAAGACTAACAATCAGACAAGGTGACAAGGGACACACCTTGTTTAAATAAGGTGCAGGTGATTGGAAACAATGAGCGACACCACAGACAGTCAAACTCACATTGGAAAATACACCAGGGCAGAAAGTGAAGTTAAGGGACACAAGAGGCAGGAAACTACAAAATAAAACAGGAAATTACCTCTCACCGTTGATATACGTGACACGTATTAGGATAGGACACTGGCAATTACTGGAGCGATGAGCATATAGTGGATTGGTTATGACTGAGTGAGCATCTGAAAAGCTTGGGACTTGGCTGTGGTGCCACCAAAGAGGACATACTTTGTAAGGTGACTCGAAGTAGCTTGAGGCTGGGTGCCCTGCTGTGATGACTGATACAACTGGCCATGGCAGCGGAATGTGTGTCCTGCTTGTGCAGAGTGACGTAGTGAGCAATGGCTAACGGGCTTCAATACGCTGTTTTGAAGATGTTCCATGGTGAAGGCTAATGATGGCGTATGCAGGACTGCTATCAATGCTTAACCACCCTAAAACATTTCTGAAGGATTAAGTGCTGATACATAAGTTTGTGTGTTTCTGTGTGTGTGTGGGGGTGTGTGTGTGTGTGTGTGTGTCTTTGTGTGTGAGGGGCGTTATTGGACTGTGATAAGCCAGCGGGAGGGCAATACTGATAAGCTGCTTTATGTAAACTTACGGTCCCCTACACTGTGTGAATGCATATCTTTTTTTGTCAGCACATTTACAATTGCACATTTAAATTGCATGTTATGTCATGTACAAATATTTCAATATTGTTAACCAATACACACACACACATATATATATATATATATATATATATATATATATATATATATATACACACACACACACACACACACACACAGGGATTGTATATTATATATATATATATGTGTGTGTGTTCAGTCCCTTGAAGTAGAGCACCGGTTGTATTGCAGGTGTAATGATGAGGAAGTTCTCTTGTTTCATTTGTGTCTCTAATCCTGTGTTGACAGACAGAAAAGGTGGGGCTAAGAGGAACCCCACATGCACACGCTGACGGCTGGTTTGAGCTCCTTATCCAACGCAGACATTTTTACATTGTTTATCAACCAAGTCTCAGCAGCTTTTTTTCGGGGTTTTCTTGCCACACCACGACGACTTTCACATCGTTGGATATGTCCATTATTGACCAAAGGGAAAATGGTAAGAACCATTTATTTGCCATCTATCAAGCATTAATGAAAACATAAATACAGACACATTTTTGAATTTTGCAAGGCCTGTGACTTTTTCTAAAAGATTTAGCTTTCGCAAAATTACACATTGTATGTTTAAAAATAAGTCTTTAAAATAAGGACAGACAGACAAATTTACTATTCAAGCACCTTGTGTAATATCTGTTAAGGATCGTTATGAGGTTTCCTTCTGTCCTCTTCATTTTATAAAACAGACTACTAGATTTAATTTCTTGTGGTTTTCTATGTAATGTCTGCTGGGCCAATACCTGAACCTCAGGTTTCTGTGTGTAAACTTTTTTTTTTAATGAAGGTCAAAGAATTACATTTATTTAACGAGGACCATGAAGCTGAGTATTAATTAAGGCTCTTATCTTTTCATAAATAATATTAATTTATTAATTTATAATTTATACATTTTATACAATTTATACATTGCTAAACCCATTTGGCTCTAATCAAACTGTCACAAACCAACCGGCAAACATAGAACCTGGGGGATTAAGGGCTCCCGGTGACATCATTGAAAATCTTCTGACCACACATGACTGACATTTCTGTGAGACTGTGTAGCCAGGCCGACATGAAAATGAAAGTGTTGTTTCTGTCATTCGGCTTGTCTTCCTCTCAGCTGCAGACAAACCCTAAACTGTTGAACCCATAGTTGTAGGATGAGTCAAAACTGCAGGGAACAAAGATGTAAGCCTCCTTTAATTGTATGTATCGCTCTTCCAGGCACAATCACATTGTGGGACATATCCAGAAAGAGTTTGAATGATTTAAGATGTACTTCATACAGTCAAGGCAGAGAACAAGAGCTGATCACACATATTTTCTGATGCAGAAGAAGGTGGGTTGCTAAAGTTAACATGTGCAGGGGTTGTTATCGAGCCAAAATGCAATTTGGAGCGTTGAAATCATATGAAACAACTAAATCTTTAACTGCAAATGTGTTTTCCTAGTTTAGTAAAGATTGGAGTCCCTCAAAAGCACCTTCATTTTGACTGAATAACGGGTTGTCATGCAACGCCATAACACAAAACAAAAATAAATATTAATCACCAAGACAGAGAAGAGAAAACGAAAGATTTCCCATCTCATTTGTTTATTTCGGTGAGAATAACAAACACTCAAATTTACAAACATTCCTAACATTTAAAAAAAGTCAGTGACCAATATACAGTAGCCACCCTTTTCAATAGTAATGAGCCTGTCATTCATGGAGTGGGTCAGTTTCTGTTGATGAGCCACGTTTTGTGCAGCAGCAACCACAGACTCCCAGACACCTTGTCCTGTACCACTGCTCATAGAAAGTGTTTCCTAAAAACTTTAGAATTTTTTGATCTGCACAGTGTCCATTGTGTGGTCTTATTGATCACGCTCTTTTTCCTTCTGTCTGTCAAAACATGATTGCCTAGGTCACATTAAGGAAGTGCTAAGGGCGGTTTCCTATGACATCTGTGTTTCCTACTGAAATTCCTTACGTCAGTGGGGTCTGATTGGACAACACAAACCTGTCCGAAGTGTATTAAAGCTCCTATTCTCCCCAAGAAGCTTTGTCAGATCGTCCTACTTCTCTGAGGGAGAAGGAACAATTTGTGCCTTTTCAGCTGATTTGAGTCAAGACTGTCTGTAGTTAGGGCTTGTGTTGATGATTTCTGTATTCTTTACAAATTTCCTATATCCTAGTTAGTAATAAATACTTAATCACAAAACGTGTTTAAGATTACGTTTGATTTCTCAAAAAGGCTTAATCCACAAATTTCCACCACATTAACCACAAATGTGCAGAATCTCCTTCACCTGAGCTAATTGCAAAAGGGGTTTTTCTGCACACTGAGTTTTTCTCTAGATTAGAGGCCATTCATTTTATATGTTGTTCCAAATGTGGAGAATATGGAGGAGAAAAATTACATAGAGAGCTGGTCAAAAATGTTTCTCAAAATAAACTACTGCATTTCAGAGCACTCAATCTGAAATAAATCAAGACTCCACGTCATATGTGAAAGATTGTTTGGAAATATAAAATAATAAATAAAAGTCAATTCCCAAACATTTAGACAAACATCAGGATATAAGCTTAAGTAAACATACAGAAAGTATTCACAGCGCTTCACTTTTTTGTTATGTTACAGCCTTATTCCAAAATGGATTAAATTCATTATTTTCCTCAACATTCTACACACAATGACAAAGTGAAAACTGTTTTTTGCAAATCTGTTAAAAATAAAGAACGAAAACATAACATTTCCATAAGTATTCACAGCCTTTGCTCAATACTTTGTTGAAGCACCTTTGGCAGCAATTACAGCCTCAAGTCTTCTTGGATATGATTCCACAAGCGTGGCACACCTATTTCTGGGCAGTTTCTCCCATTCTTCTTTGCAGAACCTCTCAAGTTTTCAGATCTCTCCAGAGATGTTCAATCGGGTTCAAGTCAGCACTCTGGCTGGGCCACTCAAGGACATTCACAGTTGTCCCTAAGCCACTCCTTTCTTATCTTGGCTGTGTGCTTCGGGTCGTTGTCCTGTTGGAAGATGAACCGTCGCCCCAGTCTGAGGTCCAGAGCTCTTCGGAGCATGTTTTCATCGAGGATGTCTCTGTACATTGCTGCATTCATCTTTCCCTCAATCCTGACTAGTCTCCCAGTTCCTCCCGCTGAAAAACATCCCCACAGCATGATGCTGCCACCACCATGCTTCACTGTAGGGATGGTATTGGCCAGGTGATGGAGCAGTGCCTGGTTTCCTCCAGACATGATGCTTGGCATTCAGGCCAAAGAGTTCAATCTTTGTTTCATCAGACCAGAGAACTTTGTTTCTCATGGTCTGAGAGTCCTTCAGGCGGGATGTCATGTGCTTTTTACTGAGGAGTGGCTTCCTCTGTGCCTCGATACAATTCTGTCTCGGCAGTCTACAGCTAATTCCTTGGACTTCATGGCTTGGTTTATGCTCTGATATGCACTGTCAACTGTGATACCTTATATAGACAGGTGTGTGTATTCTCAATCATGTCCAATCAACTGAATTTAGCACAGGTGGACTCAAGGATGATCAGTGGAAACAGGATGCACCTGAGCTAAATTTTGAGTCTCATGGCAAAGGCTGTAAATACTTATGTACATGTTATGTTTTCATTCTTTATTTTTAACAGATTTGCAAAAATTAGCAAAAAACAGTTTTCACTTTGTCATTTTGGGTTGTTGTGTGTAGAATGTTGAGGAAAATAATGAATTTAACCGATTTTGGAATAAGGCTGTAACATAACAAAATGTGGAAAAAGTGAAGCACTGTGAATACTTTCCGGATGCACTGTATATGTAAGTATGTTCCCAATAAAAATTCTTGATGACCAACGATTTTTTGAAAATATACCTTTTAAAATTTAAACCCGGTTTAAGTACATAGGAATCAGTGTCACTAAAACATTTGCAGATCTTTATGAGGAGAGCTTTTGCCTTAATATATATATATATAAAGTATTGTCTGTGTGAATATCCCTGTATTCACCTTCTTTCTGAAACGTTTCATTTTGGCGCTTGTCTCTTTCAGCCCCTCCTCACCCCCCTCAAACTATAGACTAATCTTTGCGTGAGTCACACGAGCATTATATCGGCCCAAAACAGTCCGTTTTTAAATGATTTGCGCAAAACCCCAGCTTTCTCCCAATTTTTGCCATGGTCTTCATATATGAAATGAATCCATTTGGTTCTTGTGCCTCCTAAAGCCTGGGACGCAAGAGAGAATTGTGTGGAATTGTGCAGCTGACTACAGCGTATTTTGAGGGTTGAGGGGTTTGGCGTGTTGTGGGGATGTGGTGTGGGGAAGGGAGGGCAAAGCCCATGTAAGGGAGACTCCCCCTTGGTTTGATGACGTCGGCAAACTCCAGAACTTCCGAACAGGTTTTTTATTATCATCCATTCATTAAAGCCATCATAAAAAACATGCAAATAAATATGCACAATATTGATGGACTTTGACATATACATTTTAAACCATTTATTATTAACAATCCATCATGAAAGTGCTCACCCTTGAAGGCACTGAGCCATATAGTAGAGTAGTAAATAAAAGTCAAAAAAGCTATTGTAGCTTTTAAGCTGGGTTGCACTAATCACTTTTGAGTTTTCTAACCGACCATTTGCTAATTTACCCTGGTACTTTGTTCAAGTTAAGTTAGCAAGCTTTGTCATCTACTAACTGAAAAATAATTTCATCCAATTTATTCAAAATACATGTTTGTACCACTGAGCCTGTTTGTGGAACCATTTACAAGGCCCCTTTATATATCCTTCATTTCTTTGTTTCCTAGATCTATTCATGACTCTGACCAAACCTACGTTATGACTGAATTGGAAGCTCCTGGGGTGGTGGATCATCCCCCAAACTACATAATCTTTGTGGTGGTCTTCCTCTTCTTCCTCACCGGACTGTTTGGCTTCCTCTTCTGCCAGCTACTGAAGAAGAAGGGCTACCGCTGCCGCACTGGAGACATGGACGATGAAGAGGAGGAAGAGAAGCTTGGAGGAAATATAGACGGTGGGTTGAGACTCAACAAGGTTCAAAACACAACGGCAAATAGTAACGCACAACGCAAATAGGAAAGGGTCACGCACCCCCGCCACACATCCAATTCCTCACGCCAAGAAATCGGACTCCGGTCCCCGAGCTGTGTCAGCCATAGTGTCCGGCGTCCACCGACCGTAGCGTCCGCGGCACCCCCCCCTTTTATTTACAACACCTAAATATAATTGAACAACAAAACACTGATAAAACAATGGTGAAACACTAGTAGGACACTTTTAAGACACTCGTAAAACATCGCCATCTCTCCGTGGCTTTCTGCTGCGGCTCTCCTGCTGCGTCACTTCCCCCCCTCATCACAGGCTCTCAATCCCGCCACTTATTTATTGATTGCAATAATATCTAGAAAGCGGCATTTCTCAGCTTTCAGAATCTGATTGTGCAAATAGTTAAGGAGTCACGGTAATTTGAATCATCCATGTCACTTTCCGTCGCCGGCAAAAGGCTTCGGATTAAGAGGGTTAAAAGACAGACAGTCTGTCCAATCAGAAAGGTCCGTCCTCTGCTACCCTTTCCGTAAGAAGTTCATTTCGTTGTGTTTTCCTATTTGCCGTTGTGCATTCCTATATGCCGTTGCGTTTTGCACTTCAGAGCCACCGTACTAAAGGCATAGTCATTAGATATCGTTCAATTAGTCTTTGTGACTACTCAGCATGTGAATAATGTTTGGTGGGTCTGTTGTCAATTTTGTAATTTTATCAGTGTATTCAAGGGCTACCAATACTTTATATAAATCGCTTAGGTAGAGGTTATAAGCGAGCTGAACCAAAAAAAAGTTGTGACACGGCCCAGAACGTCCTGCTCAAACCCACCATTTCTTTTATAGCAAAGCCACGTTCAATAATGACTTCAGCCAAAATTCTTTAAGAAAAGATAACCCACAAAACCAAGCTGTGGTCAGTTAAATATATAAAAACTGAAAGCTAATTTTTCCTATTTTTAATGGAATTTCAAATCTCCTCATCTTGTTGTCTCTCCAGTTTGACATTTTTCATGGCGTTTTTGCGTAAATTACTCTTTGCCCTGTAATGTTGTTTTTTTTAGCGTTATCCTAGACGGGTCAGAAACACGACCACTTGTGGATTTTCTGAACAATGACCAGCTGTATATGTACACGGGAGCTCAGTTTTACATTACATGGACTCTACTAGGGCAGTTTATGTCCAAACCAACTTATTTCAACCTTTTTGCATTCTCACATATACTTAGTGTTTGTAGTGCATTGGTGCAAGGAACTTTCTTCCAATCTCTTTCTCTTATTCTTATTTTATTTAACCCACAACACTTCATACACAAACACTCACAAAACTATGAGGTATTTTTTAAAGTCTGAATCACAAGTGGTCTCACATACAATGATTTAATCAAATATAAACTCACTTTAATACGTAAAACTACACGCACACGTATAGTAGACATCATTGATACACTTACAAAAAACAGACTCTTACAGAGCTGAAGATGAAGTTGAAGTTGGACTTATCTAACATAGTTTTGGCATAACAACTTAAAAAATGTTTAACTTAATAGTAATAATATCCAAAAGATGCACTTAAACTCAAATGGGACAATCTGTAGTATACTCACCGTCACTGTCTTTGAATTTTCTATAGTCACTACATTGAAAATAACTCCCTTTTTCTGGGGTATTTATCAACCTCTAGCCACTTTTTATGAACTTGAAGGAACTTACCCTTTAACCAATATTGGTTGACAGACAGTTTAGGCATGGCGTTTGACTACAGGGACTGCACCCTTTTAAAGCTGAGGGTTTAATGGGTTTGTTCTCCTCTTTCAGATGAGGACGAGGAGAACCAGGACACAGTGGAGCAGATCCTCAAATGCATTATTGAAAATGAAGGTGACCAAACAATTGCTCAATAGTAGTTTGGATTGAATAATTGTTTAGTTTAAAAGTCAAGATTGATTCAGTTAAAAAGTCATTCTGTATCTGTATTTACTGTTTTGAGAGTGTTACATTTGATGGATAAAAATGACACACGTACCCTGTAATAGATAATGAATTCCAACTACAATTGTATTCCTATAGAGGAGATCGCTATGTATCAGTAAATCCATACTGATACTTAAATAGAGCAACTCTTTAATTGGTTATTACTGTTGTTTCCTGCAGCCAATATGGAAGCCTTCAATGAAATGTTTGGAAACCATGTGCACCATGACCCCAGGTAAACTCATCCAACAGTTTAATAGTGTGAAATATTGTTGACTGCATGGTAGTGTCACATGGATACAACTATTTATTTTATAACCTGGAGCATCACAAATTAAGGAAAATCAACGCAAACAAAGTATTTTTTTCTCACAATGTCACTGAGCAGTAGTACTATGTAACGGATTTCCATTTCTGACTAGTGTATGCAATATATCATTCACTCTATAATAAGAAGGATGTTCGTGGTTTTATTAATGACAATGTTGATGTCCAGGTTGCGTAAGGAGTCCGTTGGTAGTGTTCCTCCCCATCACCACACAGTCCACTCTGGCACCGACCACAACACCTGTCACCTGTGTGCCCAGGTCCGATCTAAGAAAGCCCGGAGACAAAGTCGAACCCCCCGCTCGAAACAACGACCGGGAGAGCAGACTGTCTTCTCGGTTGGCAGGTAGCAGTCATTGCAACAACTTGAGCAGAATGCAAGATTGGGCAGAGTAGCAAAAATATTTGATGCATTTTTTTAATAAACAAAATCCTTTCAGGTTCCGGGTGACGCACACTGATAAGAAGCTTCACGGAGGTCCTAATCCATTGGTTGGTTCAGGAGACCAGCTGGACCAATCACAGGACAGTGAGGAGCGTAAGGAAGGCGTGTACAATCTCAGAAGCATGTTCAAAGATGTCAGATCACCTTCAGAGGGCTCTAATGGGGTTACTGTGAATGTGGGGAAACGTAGGAAGAGTGTAACTCTATTTGGGTTAAGGCGCAGCAGCGACCCAATTGACATTAAAGAAGAAGGAACAAGAAAGGACACTGGAGGTGTTAGATTTGCAATTCAGCAGCAACCTGTAGTGTTGGAGGAACTCATGCGGGCAGAGAACATTGAAGTTGCTAATGTAAAGAATACTAAACCTGGTATTAAACCTGAAACCGAGCCGTCAAAGAGTCAAACGGCTGGTTCTATTAATTTCTCCCAAGGTAAGGATCTTGTGTTCAAATCTTCCAGTGAGATTTCTACTGCTTCTGCCCCAAGCTCTCTTCCAATTCCATCTCCTGGTTCATCTGCACATTTATTTAAGACAACAGCAAAACAACAATATGGTGTTGAGGATAAGGTGTTAAAAAATGAAGATGATTTTGATCCTGGACCGCTACAGACCTCTACACCCATTGTCCCCATGCCTGAATTCATTCCTGTGTTCACTCCCGTCAGTCCTACTGGTAAACCTGAACAATGTTCAAGCCAATGTTTCTCGACTACCAAAACAACATTTGATCCAAGCTCTAGCCTAGATCTGGAATCAGGTCTTGGCCAGAAACTAGCTTTAATAAGCGTAGGTCCATCTCCTCCATCTTCATTACCAATCAAGGCTCAATCTTCATCCTCTTTAAAGATGCCTACCTCACCCTTGGTGGTCATACCACTGACTTTGAATTCAGGAAGTGAGGTGTCTGTAGCATCTATGACCAAAGGGGATCCGATTTCAAGTCCATTATTTCCAAAGGAACCAAACCTGGAAGCGCCTATAACCCCAAAGATGGAAGAAAAGACAGAAAAAAACATGTTATGTATTCTCAAAATGGCTAAACCTTCACCAGTTGAGGAAGATTCTAAAGGCACTGCGCTATACCCTCTTACTGATCAGCTTTTTAAAGATAGACTGAGCAGTTTGCCTCGGTCACCGTCCAGTTCACTGTGCCCATCCTCCCCTATGGGAAACAGAATAAGCAGTTCGAACATCTTTAAAGCCAGCCCTGACAGCAAGAGACAGTTTCCGGTAGACACAATGATGGAGGATGAAATATCCTTTCCCTCAACAAAGAAACAGAACGGAGCAACCTCTGAAAAAGCAGGAATTAGTCCAGCTGTTGGTCAGGAAGGAGAGGTTTATGTTTCAGGTGTTGCACAATGTGAAAGTCAATGTGAAAAGACTCCTAGAGCAGAAGTTATTGCAATTGCGAGTAAAGTGAAAGATGATATGGTGGAGATGGAAGATATTAGAGACTGCAAAGTGACACAGGTGCAAGAGGAAGAGAGGGTAGAGGAGGAGAAGATGGTAAACATTTAGTCAAAGTAGGAATGATAGGTAAAGTCTCATATGGAGATGGTTGAGCATTCAGTTTTGATAATCCAAAGAAAGAAAGGAAGAGTGTCTCAACGTGGTGGACTTTGAGAAAGGAAATGTAGAAGTGATAAAATGAATTAATTATGGACATGAATTTTATCATGTAACTACAGCAGTGGATCAGTTGCTGTGAAACTAGGCTGCCCTGACTAGCTGGTTGACTAATTCCAATGTTTGATTTAGATGATGATACAACAAATGTTAAATGTTTTAGCCTTTTTACCACATGTCACAGATACTTTACATCATAGCTAAGCATTTTACAGACCGTGCTTTTGTGTTTTTGATTTTACAGGCCGGTCATGGGGGATTTTTTGAATGGTATTATCACTAGCAGGCCATTTAGTTGCCTGATGGGTTAATTTGCATATTGTCGCTTAATTGAGTTACTAATGGCCTGATTACATTTAAGTCTTTCACCAGAGCTGTATGACTAATTGCTTTATTCATGAACTATTATATAGTATTGATGTATATATTTGTTAAGTGCTGGCAACCCCTAATTTCATCAATTGATTGATTGTGAATCACCATTTACTTTACAACATTTACTTACTCTTTAGGCAGGTTGGCCAATGGAGATGTCTCAGTTCGTGAATATGCAAGTATTTCTGTTTAACCTATATCCATACCATCATGGCATACAGCAAGATGCAAAACACAGTTAGTACCATGACAACGTATCTTAAAACTCTGCAAATACCAACACTCAGTCAGTGCCCCTCAGCATCTAATGGAGCCTTGAGCAACTGCATGAGACAACCAAGGCATTTAACAAACTCCACTTTAATTGTGTCGGTATTAGATGATCAGTGCAACTGACTAAGCACAAAAATCTGTGAAAGGATGAGTTAGGACTGTAAAATAAACAAGGTCTTTCATTAAGAAGACCAATGTTCTTTTCCAGTGAGAGACCAGTGTAATAAAAAGTTAAAGTTAATTAAAAAATACTTTAAAAGTAGTTTTGTTGTGTAAACCTAACCAAGTAAATGCAGCAACTAAATAAACCTAGGTTAAAAGTTAATACAGAATGTTTGTAACGAGCACAAACTGAATGCATCCGGTGATGAGAGAATTTATTTTGAAAAATACTAAATAGGTCAGCCTAAGCGCTTACACATCCAAAACTGAGGCTGACTCGCATTATAGCTCGAAATGCAAGGCCACTTGCCAAGTGTTGGTATTTGACGAGCTAGATGTGAGACATTTTCAAAAATGTTTTTTTTTTACTAGTCTTGTTATTGTAAGACTTTTCTCTGCTCATCTGCTATCTTGTTCAACATGATTGAAACATGATAATGCAAAACAATGGCAAAAAGTGATCGACAGCAAATACAGCCATAAACTGTTATAGAATGTATTGATGCTAAGTAGTACAAAGCAATGCCACAGTATTACGGAGTGGAAGTGCCATATATGAAATAAGCTTGAAACTTCCAGAGAATTGCATCTGCTGTCCTTAAAGGTGTGGAACTTAATAATGATTTTGGCATGTGCTCCGAAAGTGGCATATCCATGATAAAAAGTGTAATAACTACTTTGTCTATCTGGACAATTTATTTTCTGTCAGGATAAAGACAGTGTATATGTTACTGGTGAAGAAATAAATGAAAAAAACACACAAACAAATTCAAATTCAAATTTTGAGAATTGAAAAAAAAAAGTCACTAACAGCTCTATAAGTCCTATAAAACATGGAAATATCAGGCTGAATTCCATCTATGTGAGCGAGTACACATGGAAAGGTTGTTGATGGACTACTCTAGGGCGGGCTTTTGTGCAGGCATCGTGGCAGAGAAATGGGATGACTCAATATCTGGATTTTTTCCTAAGTCAAGGTTGTGGAAGACCGACGTGCCAGTTTCAACCCCTTTTTTGAATTATCTTATCCAATTGGATCCGAGTAAACCTATGTGAAAAAGAGCAAAAATGGGTAGAGCGTGATATTCCGCTCGAGAGAGAGCGGATTGGCGGGAACCCCTCCCCCTAACCTTTAAAACCTGCCTCGGAAGGCGCTTAATTAGTTCTAGCTCGGTCTGTCACCTTTAGGGCGACCCTCGAGTGACAAAGGTTTTTATGCACTTTGGCTTTAGATTGCTGCTGTTTATAACAACTATGTTATTGTAGTAGTTTTTATTTGAAGAAAAAACAGAGCAAGTGAACAGGGAAGTTGTGGAGAGTTTATGTGGGACGTCGTACACTATGTACGATTTTCTTACCGGTCATAGGAGCATTGCAAGTCAGACTTCAAAATACTCCACCATATTTCAAAATACACATCATTCTTTGACCAATGTGCATAGCACGTATGTTTTAAAATGATGTCCATTTTGACAACATTAAAGGTTAAAAGGTCCTTTTTTTCCATAGCCTGGGTTTAAATCTGTAGTCTGGCTGAAAAATTTGAAAAATGATGCCATCTGTTGGAGAGCGGAATTTTAATTACATAAGATGTGATTACACAAGACTTTGGTATTTTTAAAAGCTATCTGACTGCTCATGTAGATTTTAAAAGTATACATGTACATATACTGTATGTATATATGTTATAAAAGAAATTGGCTTTAAAAGCACTCTTGATTAGAAAAAAAAACCCTACTGATATCAGTAGGGTTAGGGTTAGTAAGCTAATACAGAAGGAGGAGAGTGCTCACTAGCAGCATCTCTTCCGCTGCCCAGCAACTCTCAAAAACAAGAGAAAAATCTTTACAAAAGTGTATTGCTTACAATTGCTTAGCCTTCTTGGTTGCCATTAAGATAATTTTGTTTTAATGAGTGTCTGCCTCTGAAGTATTAACCATCAAAAACCATCATAAATTTCCTTATCATGTAAAAGTACAGTAAAGTGAGAAAATATGTACTTATTGTATATATTTTCAGTAAACTAATCTTTAAAACAGAGAATTGTCATACAATGGTGACATCATCCCTTAAATGGGAGTCTGTACTTTGTTTTGATTTGTTGGCATTCAGCCCAGTACAGCACACCCCACCTTCTTGCTCTGAATACTGCTTAAAAAAAAGTACTTCAGTTTTATTGCCGTCAGATTTGTTACTATTTTGAAAAATTAAGCCTTAAGTTATCACAGATTGCGTCCATTTTAGTTATTTAGAACCTTTACTTTTACTTTGGAACCAAAAGGCACTCAGAAACAGGAAGCTGCAGAGATGGAATGTGCTTTACCCAGATGTTAGTGTTTTGCTGGATAGTGCTCTCAATAAATTGCCACAATTATTCAACATGGACTCAAATGCCTGATTGGTGTTGCAGGAAGGCAGCACTTGTTATATTTATCTCTTCCATCCACTTGTAAATTAACAAAACATTCCAGTGTCACTAAACTGCAATCACATACAAAACATGTTTATTCTCTCAGATCATGGTCACAGTTTTGTGTATTGCTTACAATTGCTTAGCCTCCTTGGTTTGCCAGTAAGATAATTTTGTGACAAATAGACCATAATTAAGGAACCAAACGTCTCTATTCTAGCCCTAACCCTAACTGTCATTATTTATTGTTTAATAAACAACACAGGTTCCCTCTTCCATGATATAAATATAACAAGATGAATACAACAATGGTTCCAAATAAACCCTAAACATTACATGAAATAAGCAGCATCAAATACATCTGCAATAACCTAGATAAATAACATGAACACAGATAAATATAATTTAATCTATGGTTTGAATACACATATTCTGCCACCTACTGGTGGAGATGTAAACATGTTTACTCTGCATCTCATTGAACTGTCTCTCTGCGGTCACTGAAGCAACAACACAATAGATGGAAAATAAATATCAGAGCCCAGAGTAACGGGTGTGCGACCACAAACCACTTAAACTATATGTTTAATTATATTATTAGCTATATTATTACCTTATAAACTATATTGTATCGCCCGAAGTTGGCTGGTATGGACTCCAGCCCCCCCGCGACCCTGCGTGCAGGATAAGTGGTTTGACAATGGATGGATGGATGGATGGATAAACTATATTGCATCAAGTATTGCCGCAATAAGTATCGCTGTGTACTTGGATAAATTAAAATACATCTAAGTGTAGTCAACTACTGTTGATAAGACATTCCTTCTGGCCAGGATTATTTATTTATTTATTATTTATAACCCTAAGCAAAAAACAAGAAAAGTTCCGTTTTCAAAAACAAGAAAACTTCCGTTTTCTTGTTTTTGTGACAAACTGTGTTGTTATTTCATGGTTTTTACGGTAAAACAAACTATCAAAAGGTACACGTACAAATGTGTATCATTTGTTTTTCAATTGATAAACTGAAAACCAAAAACAATTTGTTTTTCCGTTCTTCAATTGAGAAACCAAGAAATGAAAAAACGTACAGTAAGTAATAAAAAATATATCACACGAACACACACAGACATATCATATATATGATGCACAATTAGTTTAATTAAATCCATAAATATCAAATACAGTAAAAAGAGTTTTACTAATTGAAATTATGTTTTGCCAAAGGTTTATTTATTCTAAATAATACGTATATCTTTGTAGTGTTATATAATGTTAGGGTTATTAGTATTAGTATTTTCATGTTGTAATGTAACTGTACACTGCATTGTTTTTTAGATGTGCAATTGACAGACTTGCAGACAGAATTGAATACATTGTTTAATAATATTTATTATTTTGCAAATACTCAAAAAGGAAAATAAATTTACAGTGTTGATGGATATCAGAATTAGATTCAAAAAGTGTTGTTTTGCACGTATGTTACACCTAGAGGAATTTGTTGATTCCTGTATGTGTTCACTTAGTGATTGGTGAAATAAAAGTTCAAGTAAAATAAGATTCAAATGTAAAAGCAAACGTGAACAATATAAAAAGATGAATTTCATTTAGACACGTTTGTATTTAGACGTATCTACATGAAAATGTCCTGGGGATGTATTGTCTGGGTCAGTGGGGGACTCAGACTTCATGAGACCAACTGATGAGGGGAATAAGCAGTTTCTGTTGTGGGAGGTCTTGGTCCTGATGGACCGCAGCCTTCTGCCAGAGGAAAGGGGCTCAGAAGGTTTGTGTCCTGGGTGAGAGGGGTCGGTTACAATCTTTCTTGCCGCCTCAGAGTCCTGGAGCCAAACAGGTCTTGGTGGGACGACAGATTGCAGCCAATCACCCGCTCAATAGAGCCGGTGATGCGCTGCAGCCTGCCCTTGTCCTTGGCTGTGGCTGCAGCGTACTAGACGGTGATGGAGGAGCAGAGGATGGACACAATGATGGCCCTATAGAAGTGCACCACCATTGTCTTTGGCAGGATGAACCTCAGGTAATGCATATTCTGCTGAGCCTTCTAAGTGATGGAACTGATCTTCAGTTCCCACTAGAGGTCCTGGGAAATGATGGAGCCCAGGAAGCGGAAGGACTGCACAGCAGGGACAGGGAAATCACCCAGGTTCATGGCGGAAAGTGGTCTGCTCTGCTCCATGCTGTGTTCTCTGGTCTTCTTTCTGCTGTGTTCGGGTTAGGGTTTTCTTCTCTCTGCACTGGTATCTGCTCTTCTCCCTGTTGTGTTCTCTACTGTGTTCCTGCTAATATCACTTGCTTTATTCCCTTCGTGTCTTTCCCCCCGTATCCGATCCTATTCAAAAAATTTAGCGATAATTGACAAAAAACACAATAAATGGAATCTTTGGAATCATACATTAATTACATTTCTATCATAGATCAGTGGAGAAATATTTCTTAATTTATTTTGAATCATTTGTTTTTTACATTTTATTATATTACGTTACAAGTCATTTAGCTGACGCCTTTATCCAAAGCGACTTACATTACACTTTAAACCCATGGCTTTTACATTTTTGCCTGGGGAGCAATTAGGGGTTGCTCCCCAGGCAAACACACGGCACAGGCTGGATGGTGGAGTGGACAGGGGTAGGGGTTAGCTGGATCGTAAGCATTAAGACCCTTTAAACGGGTCGTTTGAGCAGAGCTGTCTGAGGCTGGCTGAAAAAGGTACCTTTAATGATCCTTGTGTCACAGTTCAGCTTCATACCCCCCTCGTCAGTATAACTCCCATCACCTGTTCACACACCTGCCTCTGATCACTAGTCCAATCCCTATTTAGTCTCCTGCCTCACATGCACACTTTTCCAGATTGTTCTACTTCCATGCCAGATTCTCCAGCGCTCATTTTCACACGGTTCTCCTGTTGCCAACCTGCCAGTCTAACTCCTGGTAAACCTACCTGCCCTTTGTCCAACTGTTACATTGCCCGGTGTTTCTGGAGCTTTCCCTGGAGTCGTGTGAGTGAATTTGGGTCTTGTGGTATTTTGCCCTATTCATGGTTTAGATAGTGATGGCGAGATGAAGCTTTATGAAGCAGTGAAGCTTTCCATCCAATTGTGTCACACAGGGGCCGAAGCGTCATGGTGCTTCATTTGCTCTACTGCGCCATCAGGTGGACAATAAATGAACTGACACCATGGCTTTGATGTGTGAAGTATTGAATAAATTAATGATGTTTGTGATGCGAGACACAACTTATGAAAGTATTA